TCCTAAGTGAAGCTGCATAAATCCAATAAATGATTGATGAGAGAATCCTGTTTTAAGACGCTGTTGTCTGTCTCCAGGGCTGAGGCACAAAATAATGGGCCCTTCGCCTCTGGGCAGTGAAGAACAGAGCAAGTTGCACCGACTTCTGATCCCCACTCAAGGTCAGATGCAGCTTTCTCTCTCCACCTGGCCCAGCTGCCCAAGAGAGAACTGAACTGCACAATAAAGGTGGCCTCACCCAGGGACCTGGCACAGCTCCTTATGGTCTCTCCTGGGGAGGAGGAGGAGGAGAGAACGGACTCAACAACTGCGCTGCACAAGAGATTCCAGGGCAGCCCTGCAAAGGGCTCAGTGCTCCCCAAGAAACATGGACATGGACTTTGGACAAGGGTATGGAGTGACAGGACAAGAGGGAATAGCTTCAGACTGGGAGAGAGTAGGTTTGGATTAGATGTTAGAAATCCTTCCCTGTGAGGGTGGGGAGGCCCTGGCCCAGGTTGCCCAGAGAAGCTGTGGCTGCCCCTGGATCCATGGAAGTGTCCAAGGCCAGGCTGGATGGGGCTTGGAGCAACCTGGGCTAGTGGGAGGTGTTCCTGCCCATGCAGGGGGTGGGACTGGATGGGCTTTAAGGTCCCTTCCCACCCAAACAATTCCACGATTCCATGGTTCTATGATCCCAATGCTGCAGTGAGTCAGGAGCCTCTATCTGGTTCCAGGGCAAAGGAGCAGATCTGTTTGCAAATGCTGGCTCTGCACTAGGACCATGGTATGTTCCTCCACTCTTGTAACAGGTCTGGGGCTGGCCAAGCCCTGAGGAGAAGCTCGTGGCCCCTTTGTGCTCTCTCTGTACACAAGGGTGTGTGTCCTGCTGGCACAGGGAGCTCCAAGCCCTCCTCTCAGACCCCAAGGGCAAGGGCAGCTGGAAGGGTGGCTGCAGCTGATGTATTCCCAGCCCTGATGACTGTGGCACCTGAAGGGCAGTGCAGAGACCTGTATCCAAACCCTTGCTTGGAGGTGCAGTGTATAACCAATATGTGGTGCTCACGATACAGATGGAGGTGCAGTGGGTAAGCAGTTCATGGGAGCTGATCACCAGGAAGGTTGCAGAGAGTGAGAAGGTCCCCCCTGAGTCTCCTGTTCTCCAGACTGAACCTGCCCAGCTCCCTCAGCCACTCCTGGTGCTCCAGCCCCTTCCCAGCTCCGTTCCCTTCCCTGGACACAGTCCAACCCCTCCATGCCCTTGTTGTTGTGAGGGACCCAGAACTGGACATAGGACTTGAAATGCCTCAGCAGTGCCTGAAGGTCTTCATTCCTTGTTCTCCATATGACCAGCAGCTCCAGTGACCATGCTTGGAGTGCTGGGAGCTGTGTGCAGACCCTGCACCTCCAAAGCACTGTCCTTGCTTTGGTGGTGGCCGTGAGCACCTGCCTACAGTGAGGGATGAGCCTGTAACACACCAGCAGCTGTTGGCAAACCCTTGAGGGAAGAGTGTCTGAGCAGTGGAAATCTGGGTCCCCTGTCCAGCAGTGCCCTGCCTCCAGCACAAGGCTGGTGCCAGAATATTCCCCGTACCCTGAAGGGCTGGTTGCTTGTCCTGCTTCGACTGAACATCTCTGCAGGCACTGGCAGGATGAGCTGTGTCACATGCTGCTGCTGCTGCTGCCCTGGGGCCCTGGCCTTTTTCCATCCACAGACTGATGGGCACATTGGGAAAGGGACAAACCTCAGACGAGTTGCTGTGCACTGTGTGGAGCTCAGTAATTTTGGGGGTGCCACATTTCCCATCCCTCATGGAGCCCCTGGAGAACAGTGGGGAAGTCCTGGAGATCATGTGGTGCAGGGCTGTGCCCCATTAGTCCTGCTGTGAGGTGTGTCAGCCGGGGTTGGAGCAGAGCAGATCAGCCCTGAACAGACCTTGCATTTCATTGCCTTCATCCTGCCCCACCATCAGGCTCCCAGGAATGTGAGGGGAGAGGATGGTTTGATTAGGGAGGCATCAGCGTGGCCAGAATGTGATGCCAAGGGGTGGGAAGAACCTGAGTAAAATCCAGACCCTAGTTGTTCCCTGCTTTGCTTGGGACTGGGAGCTTCAACCACTTTTTCTGCACCTGACAGGTCAAGGCAGCTGCCACCAGCTCCTGCTTCCAGGCAGCTTGGCATAAATCAGCATCAGAGGAAGCAGGTGACTTGTCTCCACTCCAGGTTGTCCCCTGTTTGAATTTGGTTCTGACACAGTTTTCATGAAAAATTTATTTTGTGAGAAAATGGATTTTCAATCAAACCAGGCATTTCTACATGAAATATTGTTTGCATTGACATTTTCCAATTTTTTTTTCAATGATACAGTTCCCTTCCTTCCTTCTCCCACCTTCTTCCAAAGAGACAAGCACAAAAATAATTCAGAAGTTGTGTTAATTTTTCAGTGAAAGTGTCTGGCTTTGGGTAGCACAGGACTGCATATTTTTAGAGAAAACCAAATATTTTTCCTCAAAACTGTGGAAAAGTCAGTTTTCAGAAATGAAACCATCACCTGTTAACGGAGTGGGGGTATTAGAACCATCTGGTGAAGAGTTTGCAGAGAGATTGGGGTCTGTAAGCAGCCAGGAGGGGAATGCTGTGTCCCCTTGGCCCCACAGCCCTGCCCATGCAAAGCCACAGGGAGCAGGGACAGCAGGGTCAGTGCCCTGGGGTGGCTCCTCTTCCTCATGACCCAAAGCCCAAAGTGTCCTTCTCCTGACGGGGTTCTCTGTGCCTGTCCTCCTGCTCTCAGCCAGCTCTGCCCAGCCCTTGGTTCCATCCTAATGAGGCTGGAGCAGACACCTAATTAATCTGCTCTGGTGACAAACGGCGTGTTGGGTAGAGGGAGGAGGAGGCAGCTCTGGGCTCTCAGAGGACTCCTGCTCTGTCACGGAGCTGATTCCCATGTGCCCCACGAGGGTGCTGTGCTGGGGACACTGCCAGCCCCTGTGCCCTGATTCCTCTTCCTTCTGCCCTATTTCTGCCTGGCCCATTGACAGGCCAAGGGAGGCTCAGCTTTCCAAAAGCTCCATGTGACAAAGGTCTCTGCCACAGGCATAGACTTTGGGGAATTGACCCTGGATCTGCCCAGGCACAGGTGAGCATCCAACTGCAGGTCCTCCCTCCTTTGGGTGTTTGGCTCTGCTCATACAGGACCAGCGTGGGGAGCCCAAGGTCACCTGGTTTATTCATCTGGAGAAGAGGAGACTGGAGTCAGAGCTCACCAGGGGCTGCAGCTCCTCCTGAGGGGCAGCTCTGATCCCTGCTCCGTGTGAGCAGGGACAGCAGCCAGGGAATGGCTGGAGCTGTGTCAGGGCAGGCTCGGGTTGGATCTCAGGCAAAGGTTCTTCCCCCAGAGGCTGGTTGGGCACTGCCCAGGCTCCCCAGGGCAGTGGGCACAGCCCCAAGGCTGCCAGAGCTCCAGGAGGGTTTGGACAACGCTCTGAGGGACAGGGTGGGATTGTTGGGGTGTCTGTGCAGGGCCAGGGGTTGGACTGGATGATCCTTCCAACTCAGGAGATTCTATGATCTCATAACGTATGATCCCACAACAGCCCCGAGCTGGATATTCTCCCCCACTCCCCAAGCTGTCTGGGAGCAAAGGGTGCTGGTGTGAGAGAGGGGCTGAGCCGTGGCTGTGCAGAGCAGGTGAAGCTGTCAAGGCACTGCAGCTGCCTCCAGCACAGGGATGCTGCTGACTGTCCTTCCAAGGAGCAGAGGTAGTTCCAGAGGGGCCTGGGTGAGGTTCACCCTGCCAGCTGTGGCTGGCAGCTGGCTGGGCACACGGCCTTGGGAAATTCTTACTGTTTTTCAGCTCTTGCTCTTTTGCAGGACTAGCAGAATTTCTCAGTGTAGAGACATTTGTCAATTTGCATAATTAAAGCACTGCAAACTCATCCAGATTCACAGATCCCTGCGCTGGCTCCCTGGAGACTCACCACTTCTCTCCCATGAATTATTTATTGGCAGTGCTGTTTCTAACAGGCCCCTTTGTCTGCAGCGTTTGCTCCAGATTTCAGCTCTCTGAGGTGGAGATGGTGCTGGTCCTCTGAGACAGAGCTGGGGAGAGGAACAGCTCCATTTCCCACAGCCCTTCCTGTTTCCCTCTCCCCATTGGGGAGAACAAGGGAAATTCCTTGGAACTGTGGAGCTGCTGCAGAGGGAGCTGAAGATGTTCAACCCAAGGTTGGACTCAATGGTTTTGGAGGTCTTTTCCAATCTTAACAGTTCTATGATTCCCTAAATGACTGTGGCAGCAGCAGAGGTTCCTGTGGAGGTGCCTGTAGCAGGGCAGCCCCAGGGCTGTGGTCCCCACTCTGCTTCATGCCTTGGGTGCATCATCATCAGGGGCTCGGGGGGCCTGGCACCTCTGCCCTGGGTGCTGCCCAACAAAGACCTGCACGGCACCTGAGGGCTGTGCCTGGGACAAGTGAGAATGTCTCTCCATCCCTGTGTGCTGTGAACATCCCCCCTGTGATGGGAGCTGCTGGTGCCCCTCAAATCCTGGACTCACTTCTGGGCCCCTCAGACAAGAGACACTGAGGGGCTGGAGCGTGTGCAGGGAAGGGAACGGAGCTGGGAAGGGGCTGGAGCAGCAGGAGCAGCTGAGGGAGCTGGGGGGGCTCAACCTGGAGAAAAGGAGGCTCAGGGGGGACCTTCTGGCTCTGCAACTCCCTGACAGGAGGGGGGGGCAGGGGGGGTCGGGCTCTGCTCCCAGGGCACAAGGGACAGGAGGAGAGGACACGGCCTCAGATTGTGTCAGGGCAGGTTTAGGTTAGACATTAGGGAAAATTGATCCATGGAAAATGTAGTCAGATATTGGCACAGACTGTCCAGGGCAGTGGTGGGGTCAGCCCATGGAGGGATTTAAAAGCCCTGTGGATTTGGCACTTGGGGAACACGGGTTAGTGGTGACCTTGGCAGCGCTGGGTTGACAGTTGGACTCCATGGTCTTAGAGGGCTTTTCCAACCTGATTGATTCTGTGATTCCATGATTCTGTGAGGCAGAGGAACAGTCTGGGTGGTTACACTGCAGCCAGGCACCCCAAGCTCTCCTGCATGCTCCCCTTCCTATGGGCAGCTCTGCCTCTGATGAGAGCAACCACTGATTAGTCCTGCCAGAAACCACACTTCCCTGGCTCAGGCACAGAAAAAAACAACAGATAACACGAGAGAGAAAGTCAGAGAGAGGGAAGAAGGCAGGAGCAAGTGGTAAGTATATGGAAACCTTGCTGGTGTTTGCAGGCTCTCCCTGCTGGAGTCGAGTGTGTGCTTGTAAATCCCACAGCAGAGGAATACAAATATTTGTGCTGCGGAAACACTCCCAATGAAGTCCTGGAGCTCTCCCTCTCAATTCCTTTCAGCCTTTCAGAGGCCTGTTTGCTACTTGGTCTGTGGGAGATGGCAGAGATGCAGCTGCTTTTGCACGGGCAGAGAGTGACAGGACAAAGCAGAGATTTAAATCAGATGTAAGGAAGAAACTCTTCCCTGGGAGGGTGGGGAGGCCCTGGCCCAGGTTGCCCAGAGAAGCTGTGGCTGCCCCTGGATCCCTGGAAGTGTCCAAGGCCGGGTTGGATGGGGCTTGGAGCAACCTGGGCTAGTGGAAGGTGTCCCTGCCCGTGGCAGGAGGTGCAGTGAGACCAGAGCAGCACTTTCCAGTCTCATACCCTGGACTGACATGTCACCCTGAACCTGGAGCTGGATCTGGTGGGAGGAGTTTGCAGCTGCAAATTCAGCCCTAAAAAGTTGTGATCTGCCCAAATTACAGATGCCTGTGCAGTTCTCATCCCCTCCCCACCCATGAATATGGATGTACAGCAGCGGGGATTTTAATAACATAAGCACTTGCTATTCGATATCCTGGAGCTGTGCCAGCCCCGGGTCTGCAACAGCAGGGAATGCCCCAAAAATGAGATGAGCTGTAAGATCTCTTCCCACCCAAAGCACTCTGTGATTCTCTGGCTGAACTGGGAGCACTGGCATTGGCACTGAGGGGGCAGTTCCCAGTGCTCTGCTGGGCCCTTTTGCCCAGGCCGGCGGGGCTGGGGGTGTCCCGGCAGTGCTGTGCTGGTTTCACTCGACCAACAGCTCCAGGCTGAGTCCTGCAGGGCTCGAGGGTTTCTTTTGGCAGGCCCAGCTCTGGCTGTGCTCATCAGAAGGTGTGATCACACCTGCAGAGCTGAGGCCTGCAAGTCTAATTTTCAGCTCCTGTCCCCTCGTTAAATCAGACGAGGCGAGAAATGGTACAATGCAGTTGGGGGTTATTGTGAAAAAACTCTGCAAAGGATTTTTTACAGTGTGATGGAAGCTGGAATATTCATCTGGGCTTCTTAGTTTTTGTTTTAATTTATTTATTTTTTTTTCCCAGGGACTGCTGTTGCTGATGTATTATTTATATAGCAGGAAATTAGACTCTGAGGACTCAAGTATTCTTCAAATAAGCTTCCTAATTCTGTCAATTAAGAATGCACAGGCTGCTGGGGCTCTAGCTTGGGATGAGCTGCAGAGGAGTGAAAGCTGCCCCTGGTCATTGCTCTGATGTGCTGCTACAGATACTTCAGCTGGAGGAAAAATATCTTAGTCCCAAAATCAAACGTGTGAGATGCTGGGAGGCTTATATAGAGCAGCTCTGGCTGATTCCAGTGGGACAAATAACTTCCCTGTGCTCTGACAGGGGAATACTGAAATGCTGAATGTGTGGCCGCTTGTTGTTCTGTTCTGTAGTGAGATCTGCTGCCTTTCCCTGCTGTAACAAACGGCTGCCAGGGCTGGGAGCCCACTGTTGGGGGGAGTTTGGGGTCATTTACTCCCTAATTAATGCAGTAATTCTTCATGTGCTCCCGGGGCAGCTCTAGAGCAAATGAGCTGATGTGTAATTAATATATAAAAGAGCATCTTCCCTCCTTTATTACCCTTCCTTAACCAGCAGGAATTTGGAAATCTGTTTGGAATTCTCCTCCTGCACCAGGCCTGTTCCCAGCCATGGGAGCAGGATTAGGCACAAGGCTGCGGGACGGGCTGTTCCCACCTCCCACGGGAAAGGGGATGTCATGGGGCGGGGGGGGGAGGGAGCAGTGTCTCCAAAATGCAGCCGGGCACGGGGTCGGCACCACGCTGGGAAACAGTGTTCCCTTCTACCTGCCAAAGCTCAGCCCCGATCTGTGCCCGAGCATCTCAGAGCCAGGAAAGAGCTCCGGGGGGAGCTGGGGCTGGGGGATCCTCACCAGCACATTTACCGAGCCTTTGGTGCCTTTCTGCACGGGGATGGCAGCACAGGGAGAGCTCAGGGCTTGTGCCCCCCTTGGTGCTGCTGAGAGAGAGGTGAGATCTCTCAGAGGACACCCCTTGGTCCCCTCCTGCCCCTCCTGGCCTGGACAATGTGTCCCCCCTCCCCCCTGCAGGCACTTCAGCTCTCTGGCTGAGGGAGGAGGTTTATTGCTGCAGCACAGTTTTTCTTTTTTATCATTGCTACGAATTTAATGTCCACTGCAAATGCAGATCTCTCCATCTGGAGGAGGGATAACTGCCTGTGCTGCCTGCTCTGCACAGGAGCTCGGTCTGCAGGACACAGACACTGCCTGGGCAGCCCAGGGACAGGGCTGGCACTGCTGCTCGGGGTCAGGGCTGCCCTGGTGACCCCCCTTCTCCTGGGGGACAAGTCCTTCAGTACCACATGCCAAGGACCAGTTCAGAAAGGATGGATTCCTCTGTGTCCCTGGGAGTGTGGGGCTGCCCCTGTGCAGGCAAAGATGACACCATCACCCTCCAGCCCTTGTAGGGGACATCACAGTGACTGACTTGCACAAGGCCTGTGTTAACTGAGCTGGGGATCCCCAGTCACAGAGGAGGAGAGAAATAAATTTCCTTGCTTTCCGTAACCCTTTATGGCCTTGGAAGCGTCTCTTTGTCACTCTCCTTTGTCAGCCAAACAAGTTTTCCCTCCCAGCCTTCTGTAGCACCATCCTTTGTGGAAAAGCTGCTGGGAGCATGGCTTTAATTTTTAAAGTGGTTTGTAGATGGAAAAAGATGAAATAACTCATCCATTTGCATTCAAAGAGCAGAACCACAAATCAACAGCTCCACAACACTGATCAGCTGCAGGAAATGCTGTGTGCTGGTTTAGTGCTCGGATTTGTGCACAGGGATGTGGGAAGTGCCCTCTCCCCCATTTCCCCAATCATGGGCATGTCCCTTTGCATGAGCAGCAGACATGCTGGGAGGTGACTGGGACCTGTGATGTTTTCAGGGTTGTTGGAGGGTGAGTGTGGCCCCTCACTATTGCTGTGGGGTGGTGGAACATCCACAACCCAGTCTCAGCTTCCCTGGGAGCACCACACAGGATCACCAGGGGCAGAGCAGAGCTGAGAACAGCTCCCATGATGAGGGTGTCCTACCCTGCTTGATCCATGGGCTCTCATTATTTTGGCCCCAACCCCTCCCTGTGTGCTCTCCAGAATCTGGCTCCTAATCCCACGTATCTGGATCTTGCTTTCCCTTCTCCTGCCTCCCACAGGATGCAGCACTCTTGGCCACAGGCTGCCCCTCTGCCCCATCCTCCCACCTCTGGTTCTGGTGCCCTCCCTCCGTTTTGCCCTGGCTCTGGTTTCTCTCTCTGCTGCCCTGCAGTGCTCGTGAGCCAAGGGCAGCACGTCCTCCCTCTGTGTGGCCACCACTGACCCTCGGATATGGCATAAGACCAAAAACTGAGAAACTGGGAGCAAAACTCAGCTCTGAATCTCTCAGGCTTCAACCCATGTGTTGAGTTAGAAAAGCTGCCAGCAGGCAGCTCACAGGCTGTTTCTGCTTTGAAGAAGCTTGTGAAATCTAAACCACACGTGGCATTAGAGTTCTTCATGCCCTTCATGCTTGGGGGGGGGAATAAATGCTTTTCTTCTCAGCTCTGGTGAATGCAGGGCTGAGCCTCTCCATCTGAAAACGCTGGGTTTGCTATGGAAACCAGGCCCTGTTGTGACAGCTCTCCAGTCCTCATCCAGGGAGGAATCAGAGACAAGGTTCCTGGGTGGGGAACAATGAGCAGGAGAGAGACACTGATCCTTTTCTGCACCTCGCTGGGGCACACGTGGAGCAGCTCCTTGCTTGGCTGGCCTTGCTCTCAATTTGGGAGGGCAGTGATGGAAAGGGGGACTGGACACAGGGAGGGAAACACAGCAGAAATCTCTGCATTCCACTCATTTCTCAACTGATTCTTTTCTCCTTGTTATTCCTCTTCTCAGTCTTCTTTTTTAGTCCTGCCAAATAGGAGCGTACAGAAATATCAGCCACAGTGTTTTAAAGAGGCAGCACACTTACAAAACTATATATCTGTCATTAAAAGTTTGGATTATTCCTGCTTTTCTACTGGTTGTCAGGAGACAGAGCTTTGCAGGAACCTGCCAGCCCACTCCTGGGGATGTCTGTGCTCCACATGGACTGTGGGGGAGAAGGAAGAGCTGCACAGTCCTGGGGGGCACTTGCCTGTCATTCTCAGCCATCTCTGTCATGGGTGTGGTGCTCAGCAGAAACATCCTGCAATGGTTAGGAACAGAGGAACTCATCACTCACATTCCTGAGCTCCTGCCTTTGCTGCCAAGGCTCTCCATAGTGGAGCAGGTGCCTGCAGAGCCAGGAGACATCAGGAGGAGGGTTTGGAAAGCAGCAAGGCATCTAGAGGGGCAAAACCTACTGCACTCAGGGTCCACACAAGTTCTCCCTGGAGGCCCTTGCAGGGGTGTCACTTCAAAGACAAGGGGGATCAGCCCAGTGTGGGTGTGCACAGCTGATCTCACTGTCCAGTGGCATTGATCTGACCAAGCCTGGAAGCCACCTTTACACTCTTTACAACCAGTAGAGTCCAGAGTTTCTTTCTCCCAGTTTCTTTCTCCCACACCTGCAGTTTCTCAGCTGAGCTGTGTCCCAGGGTCTGCAGCCCAGACTAACAGGATGCCCTCCCTGAGCTACGGTGTGAAATGCAAACACCATCTAACTCTGGGATCTATGGTACACATGATATCCATGCTTGCACCCCTTAAAAAGAGGGAAAAAAAATTATCATTATCATAGATCATGGCCAGGACCCTTTTTGGTGGGTCCTTGGGGTTCCCTTTCCCCAGAGTAACCCTCCAGCCAGGCCCAGCTCGAGGCAGGAGAGCAGGCAGGAGAGCAGGCAGGAGAGCCTGCTGCTTCTGCTGCTGACACCAGGTCTGTAAATCACCTCCCCCCTCCTGCCTGCTCTCTCCAGGAGTGCTTAAATCAACTCTAAATGAGCTCTTTTAAGGAAATGTAGGCAATCAGTGGTGAGTTATTGCAAGGCACAAGGGCTTTCTTAAAAGCGACCAGCACTTATTGGTCATTGGACTCCAGAAGGCACAACCCTTTAAATCAGAGCCCACAGGTCGGGCTAAAGCAGAGCCTCTGCCACTGCCTGGAGAAGATCTGTGCTGGAGGGTTCACAGAATCACAGGACATGCTGAGCTGGAAGGGACCCACAAGGACCATCCAGTCCAACCCTGGCCCTGCACAGGCCCAGCCCCAAGAGTCACCCCCTGTGCCCCAGAGCATCATCCAAACCCTCCTGGAGCTCTGGCAGCCTTGGGGCTGTGCCCACTGCCCTGGGGAGCCTGGTCAGTGCCCAACCAGCCTCTGGGGGAAGAACCTTTGCCTGAGATCCAACCTGAGCCTGCCCTGACACAGCTCCAGCCATTCCCTGGCTGCTGTCCCTGCTCCCCCAGAGCAGAGCTCAGTCCCTGCCCCTCCTCTGCCCCTGCCCAGGCAGTTGGAACTGCACTGAGCTCTCCCCTCAGTCTCCTCTGCTCCAGCTGAACACACCAAGTGCCCTCAGTGTCCTCACACGCCTTCAAATCAAGGCCCTTCCCCATCCTTGTGTCCCTCCTTTGGACACTCTCCAATGGCTCAATCCCTTCCTTCCATTGTGTCCCCCCAAACTGGCCCAATGTTGAGGTGAGGCCGCCCCAGGGCAGAGCAGAGTGGGACAATCCCCTCCCTGGCCCGGGGTTTCAGTACCTCCCTCCCTCCCCACTGTCCCTCCAAACCATCCGCTTCAGTACTGTGTGAATTCAGGCTTTGGCTGCTTTTGAGCCCTTCTCCAGCTCTTTCCACACTATCCTGCTTGGAGAGCAGCTGGAATTAGAAGATCCTGGAAAGTGGTGCCCTGTTGCTGAGATAAGGAGTGTCACTCCCTTCCAGGGTGATGTGATTCCTGAGCCTGCCATTGAGCTTTTCCTCATCCACCGTGTTTGCAAACAGCAGCTACAAACCTCAGCTGTGAGGAGGGAAGGAAATTCTCAGAGAACACACAATTCAGGACATTTCATTCACCTCCTTCTTTCTGAGGTTTAGGGAGATGGATGAGTTAATGTTTTCATCTTCTTTGCTAGGAAAAAAAAACACATTAGAATGAAAGTCGTGACGAGCTCCTGAGTCCAGACGGTGGGACTTCAAAAATGTGCTAAATATCATAAGATCAGTAACAAACCCCTGAAAGTTGGCGAGAACTGCAGTGTGTGAGTGCCCACACATCTCTCTGCCTTTGACAGCCAGGCTGAGGCTCAGGTGGGGCTCTGCCTCTTCCCCCCACCCCGCCTTTCCCAAGCTGTACCGGGGAGGGGGGTAACGGGATCAGAGCAGCCTGTGTTTAATGTGAAGACAAGACATTCATCAGCAGCCTGATCTGGTAA